CCCAAAAGAGCCAGACTATGCTCGTTAACAGCGTCTCTTGCTTTTGACTACACTATTATTTCCATGCGTGACCCACAAATATCCTTTGTTTCACCTACCATTCATGCCAAAAGCTCCCTTAGTAATAAGCTTTGTGAGCACGTGAATTTGAGGGAGGGAGAAGAAAAATGTAATAAGTGTAAGGTCATGCTTTTGTTTAATGTCTGGAGTGTGCCCCCCCCCCCAAGGACATACAGATCCTTTTGACTGAGATGGTGGTGGTTTCTGTTGTACTTTGTTCTTGATGTGTGTCGATGCCCGTTCTCTGTCAAACCTGACGTTCAAATATTGTCTGGGGTGTGGTGCTCAAGGTTGCCTTCCAGTGTAAAGTTTAAAATGAGAAGAAAGACACCCTGGACTTTGATTTCCCCCCCCTGAATCTTAGAGAAGGCTTTTTAAACAAACGTGTGGCTTTTAAAACTCTGTCCGCCATTCAAGGGGCTTCAGTTGTGTGATTTATCTATCTGAAGTTGAGTAAAAGAAAACCCACAGTTTTGACTAATCCAACTAAACATGAAAGAAAACAAGACTTAGTAGTTGGATTCTTTTTACTGCTCTGTAGGAACAGTTAGAAAACCTGGCGATGGACTTGTGCTCCACTCAGCTCTGCTTGACTTTGGTGGCCCCAGACTTGGGTAATTCAGGTCCAGAGAGTAGAAGTCCAGACCGGAATTTTGTTTCAACCATCCAGTTGAGCATAAAGAGTCACAGTCACAGAGAACTCAACTGGATGGTTGAAACAAAATTCCGGTCTGGACTCTGGACCTGAATTGGCCAACTCTGGGTGGCCTTTCAAACCAAGTTTTATTTGATCCTAGTAAATGTTAAGAAACCCCTAAGGGGACACTGTTAGGCAGCAAGTAGTGGGAAAGTTGAAAAACACAAATCTTGACCATAACTGTAGTTATGTCTGGCTTGAGTTCCCTTCTAGGTGTCCAGAAAGATGGTTCATATAGCAAAATAGCAGCTGTTCCCTTGAGTGGTTGGATGTCTGGTAGCTTCTCGCTTGGCTAATGGCTTCTTCTCGCTCCACCGACATGGGAAGTGTATCTGACGTGGCGTTGATGCGGCTCTGTGCTGCTGGATGCTGCGTCGAGTCGCCTGTAACGGTACCCGAGCTTCCCGAAGAGCCCGTCTTCCCTCGGTCTTGCCGCAGGCTCTGGGAGGCTTGGTGCTGCTCTCCACCTGTGGATTGATGTGTTGCTTAATGTTCTGCTTGTGGAGTACATTGGGTCAGACGTTACTTGGTGTCCATCAGCATAAAGGGAAGTGCATTGGGGTACAGTCATTGTTGGAAAGTCCAACTGTAGGTGCCTCTGGACATATCGGGCTCTACTGGGTCCTTATTTTTGATTTTGTATTATTTTTCTTCTTCTTCAAGTATATATTTTTGAAAGTTTATGCTGAACATTTACGGTGTATGCTGGGGAAAACAACACTGTGGTTTGCCTCCCCTGATGGTGGGGAAGCAGGGTTTTCATTGAAAAGACGGCCAGGTCCTGGCATGTTATCCTAGTCTGTTGGGTCCCACCTCTTTTTCCTGTTTTTGGGTTAGTCTTTTGCTGAAGCCCACATCAGGGATCGAACCACACAAATCTGAAGGATCCTTCTTCATTTTACTGAAGCATCGCTCTTACTTCCCTACCTTATTCCACGAGGCCTTTCTTTTGGAGCACCGTGAGCCTCTGCCTTATTGTAGGCAATATCACAGCACTTTCTGTCTTACTACTTTTGTTTTACAAAGTGTACTGCTTACCCCTGCTCTGTGGGCAGTGCTGGCCTCAAACTGGTGTTAAAATGCTTTATTGGACATGTGAGTTGTACTCGATCCCAGTCCTGAACCTTCAGAAGTGCCATCTCGGGATAAATAAATCCTCGGTGTGTTAGACTGCCCTTGTCCTGGCTCCTGTATCATTGGTGCTACTGGAAATTGTTAAACAATCAATAACAGGTGGTTTGTTTAGTTTGTGTGCGATTCTTGGCTTAGCTGTGTGTTTTTTTTCTTTTCCCCTTCCATGACTGTTCATTCTGCTGAATGAGGATTTAATGCGACTCTTCATATTCTCTCAAATTAAGGGTCGGAAGCTTGTACTGCCAAAAATGCTGAAAAACCTCGTTAATTATAGCGGAAAAGCTCTGTATTCGTTCATTTAAGTTGCACATGACAATCCTCAGCTGACTCTTACATGGCTGTGGCTTCCAGACGCTCTTTGAGAACATGCTCTTTCATGTGCGTGTGAGATTTGCCCTTGGTTTAAAATTTCATAACTCTCGACATCATCTTTGTTCAGCTGTACATCAGATACACAGCATTCCATTCCTGCATTTTCTCCCACCTGATGATTTTTCGTCCATTCCATTAACAGACTTGTGATTTAAGCTCGGAAAATGTTTTATTTTAGCGGAAGCACTTCTATGCGCAGTCGCATTCTGTTACATTCGTGGTGGTCGTGGGAAATGCAAAACCCCACGTTTCCATCCCAGAAGAATATGGTTTATTTCTTAGCGAGCTGCTGCTTCGTTTGGCTGGGAGAGGAAACGTTAGTGCGCGTATTGCCAGTTTGGTTCCGGTTCCTCTGCGCCGGAAGGTGTGCCGCGAACGCACACTACCGAGAAAACGGGAAGAGGCGCTCGCGGGCGCACGCCGGAAGGACGGCGCGTCTCGAAGCGCCCCGATGCGATGCACCGCAGTGTCACTCACAAGGCTCGTGTTTTTCCTCCTCGTGCATGTGTTTAAATCGCTAACCGGATCAGAGCCCTGGTGATGTG